AATAATAATTATATAAGAACGACAATGAATTGAAACAGACATTATTTTGAATACAGTTGGACATCTTCTGAAATACAAAACTCTTCTGAGAATGTTGAACTCAAAATAAATGAACAACGTCAATATATAGCTACTTCTTGAAATTTTGTTCAAAAACCATGCCACAGTGGACCAAAATCAACTTTTCAAGTTCAAAAATTATGAAAAGTCAAATAAGTTTTCAATTATTTTCAATCAATATTTCTTTCGAAGCATAGTGAATGGATCATTTCTATATAGAAGTAGTTAAGTAAAGTAGTTAAGTTTTCAGTTATTTTTAGTCAATATTTCTTCAGAATTCTATTGAAAATCTAAAGAAAGATACGATTTATACCGAAGTTTTGAAAAAAAAACGAGTTTGAAAGAGTACAGTATTTCTTGTTGTCGTATGTTTAACATGTGATATAATTTTTGGTTGTCTCTTTCACTATAGATTTTCTATACGAATGAATATTGACAGAAAGAAATTCAACATTTACAAATGCTTAAAGGCTTTATTAAATAGGATATTGAACATTTTTCTTCGTTGTATTAAAATACATCACTCAAGTCACACCGTTTAATCAAAATATAATGCAGAAAAAAAATGAGTAAAATTTGCATTTTAATGATTACAACAGCAGAAAAAGATGTAGATCGACAGTATAACCCACGAAAAATACGACTGAATTTAATTTTAAATAGCTAAAATTTATCGGGAGAAAATTAAATATCTAGAAATTCTCAATACGAAGTATAGATTGTAGACGCATTTACACTGACAATAGTGTAAACATGGATCAGCCATCTATAATTTATATCCGTGGCAAAGTGAATATTGCAGAGGAAATGAACATCTATGTATTTAGATAGAATGTGCGAAATATTTCCGTTTTGTAAATTTTGATAGTTATTGAAATAGAAATGTATGCAAACAAAATTAAGGTATAGTATTATTTTACACGATATAAATGGAATTTTAAATATTTTCTTGAAACATACTTGCATCTTTTTATCGTGAACTATAGAATATGCAAATCAGTTTTAGTAGGTATTAAACGATTAATTGTCTTTCAGTTTGCTTAGTTCAAAAAATCTCAGATCGAATGCCTCATTTGATTCCAATCGAACACCAATGAGATATCTTATATGAGTCTGAGATGAAATTATATCTTGCTAACAAATTCTAACGATATACGATCGTAGATGATGAGTTAATATGTTACAAAAAAAAATGACGTTTTTGAAATGTTTTTTAAACAAAACTAAAAATTTCCTGTAGAAATAAACAAAATTTTAACAATCGTTTCTATTGCACCAAGACACGAGAGAGATTAACTGATACTCATTTTACTTTTTGACATGCCTGATCAAGCTCCGTATTTCCCGATATCTCGATCAAGATTGATCACCAAGTCTCAACAATTTTTTGAAAAATATTCCTCATTCAATTCTATACACAAAACATATAGAGCATTTCTTTATATACTATAAGAATAACAAATATAGAGAAAAAACGGAAAAGCTTCAATTTCGATTACTGTCAAACACAAAGCACAATCAAAAAATACTTATTTTGAACACGGTGCTATGCAGCAAAGTGGAATCGAAATGTCACCTTTCTTTTCATGTTTCATGAAACCTTTTACTGCCACGAACGAAGATTTTACTAAAAGTAAAGAAATGGGAAAATTTGATTTCTTTGCCTTAACTCAGCAAATGAAATGGGAGTCTATTCGACTTTCTCTGTTTGAATGTAACAGAAGAATTATTTTGCTTTAAGATAAACCAGACTCGACCTCATAATATGTGATTTTGATCGAATCATACAAATGTTCTTAAATGTCTCAAAACTGCAGTTAGAAAAGGATGATTTGATGTAAAATCACTAAAAGAAAAAAATCTTCCTGTGACCGGCTGAGCCTATGAAGAGTCTTAAATACAGTCAGTCGATAGAGCTTTTCAAGAACTACAAGTTGACTATTTTCTCTGTTTTTTATCGCGAAAGATAAGGGACTGAAATTGAAAAACCTGTTTTTTGGGATTTGAGAGTAATCGAAATTGAAGCTTTTCTATATTTCCTCTATATTTGTTATTCTTCTAGTATATAAAGAAATGTTCTATGTGTTTTGTGTATAGAATTGAATCGGGAATCTTCTAAAAGATTGAGACTTGGTGATTAACCTTGACCAAGATATTGAGAAAATACTGAATGGAACATTATTTCTGGGCCACCCGTTATAATATTTGGTTTGTTAGAGATCAACAAAGTAAAAACTTTTCAAGCATAAAACTTTAACAATTAAGATCAGTGATTGATCCAGAGAAAAATATTTTGTAATTTTATTTCATCACAGTCAAGAGTAACAAACTAATAAAGAATTTACAAAGTAAAGTGTCAAGTATTCAGATTAGCAGAACAACTGTTCACGAATGCATTACTAACATATGCAGGATAGTTCGAATCGTATAGTTGAAAACTTGATTCATTCATTTTAGATTTATCTTTCAGAGCCTGTGTCAATGGATGAAGCTCATTTGATGAATAATTACTGAAATTGGACAATGTTGATGTTGGATAATGAACAGATGACGAATAAAATGCGGATGAAGACAAATTCGTTTGATTCATCGATGTAGATGTTATTGAAGCTACCGTCGTCGGCCATGAATTATAGGATGTTGAAGTTGGAGGAGATTTTGTTTCCCACTGATGATAGCCAATTGGATGACTATATGGAGAAAAATTTGTGTTTTTTTGACGTTTTCTCCATTTCGCGCGTCGATTTTTAAACCACACCTAAAATGTAATACCTTGTTGATCAAAATATACCATCAAATATAAAGTCTTGTCCATCAACTCTCTTAATCTTACAGTATAGCGTTAAACTTCTAATTAATTTACCTTTACTTTAGCTTCTGTCAAATTTGTTATTTGTGCGAGATCTTCTCTAAGCATAAGATCTGGATAAAGATTATAAGAAAATGTTGTTTCTAATTGTTGTAGTTGTGTTGTTGAAAAATGTGTTCGTAATCGTCGTTGACGTATTTTCTTCTCATTCAGTTGGTCTCCAGCACCACCACTTTCTTCATCATCGTCGTCTTCAGCACGTTCACTTTTCAGCTCGTTATCTAAAATGACGCAAAATGATGAACAATATTTTCTAATTGACTAGTAACTCTTATTTACCATGTTTCTGATCACTTCGTATTTCGTACATCTGTTCATCGTTATGATGATATTGACGAGGGTTCTGGTATTCTCCTTGATATAAGTTCTGATGCTCATGATGATTAATTAAAGAGCATGGGTCAAACATGCATGGTGTAGTGGGTAAATATGAAAATGCTGTATTTGCAGTGTACATGAGTAACCAAGCTAAATGACGTTAAATGTCTATTAAACTATCTAACGTTTTATGATTTCATACGAGTGAGGAAGTTATCATTTTTTCGGCAAGGAAAATATTTAAAAGTATATCGATGATAGTCTCTACTGCGTAAATATATTACATTATTCATAACTCGCTCTTATATGAATAATGTACTGATCAGACAACGAAATTTTTGTATCTTACGAATGAAATAAAATATCGCATAATTTTGATCAGTTGATTTCCTTATATTTGCCAATATTGGACTCATCGAGATATCCTAAGCGTAATCTTATTCAACCGTAAGAGGATGAATGTGAAACGAATGATACAACAATATTTAAGATTTGCTGAGCTGCAATAAATTTTTTCATATTATAAAAAACTTTAATAACTGCAGTAACAAGTGTCATTTAAAGTAGACAAAAATAACCTCAAGTAAAAAACTTAATAATTTTGTTTTTGTTAATACCTTTTAATACTGTATACAGATTTTTGTTGATTGTAAGATTTATGTGTATGATCGATTTGTCGTTGTGATAGATTAAAAATTAAGTTGCACTTAGATAAATAAGTAAGCCAGTATCTCCTGTATTTCTTAGTTGTTATGATGATTTTATCTTGTAGTAAAGATGATGATAAAATGCGTGAAATAGGAATGTGTTTTATGCTTAGCCTGTAGATTAAAAAAAGATTTAAAACACGATACTCTAATTGATGTTAAGTATCTTTTTTCTTAGACAAGAAAAAAATATACGTTTGTGATAGAGAGAGTGAGTAGAGAGAAAAGAGAAGAAGAAAAGTATCTCTATTCACCAATTCGTCAACTTTTTAAACATAATCAAATTATAGCGAATCAGAAAGTTGTATTTTTTTATTGGAAGATCAGCAATAATTGTATTCATCATCCGAATGTGTATATAAAGAGTATTAGTAATCAGTTGTTTTATTATTTCATCAAATTCGGAACTATGTCAACATGATGGATCTGGAAAAACTTTTCGGTGGATGCGAATTTTTCAGAAAATTAGTCAGTATGTAGGATTTTTACTAGAATTGTTAGAAAAGATAGATTAACACGCTTTTAAACCAGAAAGAGCACTATAAAATTCAGAACTCTGATGAATATGACTGCACCCTTCTCAGTTATCATAAATTCACTATTGTACATCAATTTAAGCTACGAAAAATGACTGAACGAAATGAATTATCTAGGATATTGAAGTTGAATCTACTCCTGGCAACTGGAAGAAAATAGTGAATGAACCCGATCTTACAGTACAATTTAGATCAAAACTTTAAGTCACTAAAATACTACGTTCAAAAACATATGGTTTGGAAAGACCGGATAATCATTTTATATCTTTACACGCACGTGATCTAGATGTCCCTGTCATGTATTAAAAGTCCAAAGTCTTCTTTATATTCACATACACTGAAGTTTCACATTTATCAGCATTTTCAGAAGTCATCATGTTTCTTGGTAATCTCAGAACTGGACCTGGACCCGTCGAGAAAACCTTAGAAATGAATAAAAACATAAGTTATTGATCATGCTGAATATCGAGGCAACGTTTATTTTTAAATGAAAGTTAGAAAATGTAGTGAAAACTAGTTGAACAACAAATTTAGACGATTGTTAATTACCTAACTAATTTTAAGTATGAATATATAGTTGACTATTGGAGATGCTGGCTTACTTATTTATCTAAGTGCAACTTAATTTTTT